ATATTCTAAAAGTTTTTTGTATTGAACATTGGCTTTTTCACAAAATTGTTTTAAAGTAGCCACATGAACGGTAAAATGACTAATATACAAATAAATTGTAGTTATTGTTACTTCTACATCAATTGGCATGGCACATGATGCCGTTTTGATTGCATTTGACAAAATATGTGCGTTACAACCTATTAGTATTTTCTTTTCGAGTAAATCTTGTAATTTTACATACACATTATTCACCCCTTTGTGTCTTCGCCCACCAAATTTGTGTTTGTATTATCAGCTGTTAGTGCAACAACTTGTTTTCATTTATTACTCTATATAGATCAGTGGTTCTCAATTTTTTTAAAGCTGCGACCCCCAACCAGTCGTAAGTTGAGGACTAAACCGGTCGTAAGTTGAGGACTACCCAACCGGTCGTAAGTCGAGGATTTTCCCTGCCCGGGAGCGCCGCGCATGCGTGGTGCTGCCCCTGCGCCGGCCGAGATGTAGCTGGCAAGCGGCAGAAACGGAGCAGGCCGACCACTGGCGGGGCGCAGCAGTTAGGGTGCAGTACTGCAGGCCACTTTAGCTGACTGTGTTCAGCAGGTCAGCGGTTCAAATCTCACTGGCTCAAGGTTGACTCAGCCTTCCATCCTTCCGGGGTAGGTAAAATGAGGACCCAGATTGCTGGGGGCAATGTATATATATATATATATATATATATATATATATATATATATATATATATATATATATATATATACATTGCTTACTGGTGTACACCGCTTAGAGCAGTGGTTCTCAACCTTTTTAATGCCGCGACCCCCAACCGGTCGTAAGTCGAGGACTACTCAACTGGTGCAGCACCGTTTGCAGAATGGGACTTTTGGCGGGCTCAGCAGGGCAGAGACAGCCTGGACAATTCCTATTGGCTTTTGAAAGCCAATAGAATTAGACTCTATTCAAGAGAGTCTATTCTATTGGCTTTCAAAAGCCAATAGAATAAAAGGGAGTAGCACAGCTAAGGAAAAGGGGGGAAAAAATGGTGGGCTGCGTTGTTTGGAGACCCCCGTGAAATGGTCGTTCGACCCCACAGGTTGAGAACCACGGGCTTAGAGAGTGCTTGCACTTAAAGCGGTATATAAGTCTCATAAATAAATAAATAATAAATAAACTTGAGTGTCTTTCATGCCACATTTTTACTGCTCTTTGCATTAAGCTCTTAATTTCAACTCCAACCAAATGTTTTTGAAAAGTCCCTCCATCCTTCCAGTCCCTCAGGATTCTGGCATTCAAGTGTTTCAATGTCATAAAGGATTAATCCATTTGCTTCTTCCACCTTTCCTGGTGGGTAGGAACATGAATTTTTGGTTGTACATCCCTGGCCAGTGACTGTTGAAAAGTATGCTGACACTGAGAAGGATGAGAATAAAGGATTTAGGAAACATTTCTTAGTTTTCTCTTCACTTTTAATGGTGTAGCATTGAGATACATTAATAAAAGTATGTACTGTATCCGTCTGGTCATCTAGACAAGGCCTGTTGAGCATCCCCATTATTATTATTATTTATACTTTGCTTATGTTTTTCTTTCATTTCCCGTATGCTTAATTTTATTTTTTTGTACACTGTTCCTCCCCAAGTTGAGAAAGAAAGAGTTGCTCACGTGCACGTATACTTAATTTCGAACTGAAACATTGGTCCTCATCCCCGAGACAGAGAACAGGTCCACTTTCTTCAGAAACACCATTTTGTTTGCAAGAGCCAGGGCAGACACGCCCGTTGGGTTTAAGGATCTCACGCCCTGGAACTGCAGAAAGGAAGTTTCCGATTTAGCAAATAGTTTAACAGCCACAATCCTTTTTGAAATATTTATAGCCCAACTAAGTGCCCTCTAAGCATTTTGACTATGGTTTTTATAATTCTCAGTCAGGAAAAGATTTGTTTTCCCCAAATAGCTGATCACCTTGTGTTCCTACTGGAGTAGAGTGTGAAATCTGGAATGCACCATTTCTTAATGAACTTCAAGCACATAGTGGAGTTTTTAGAAATAATGCAAAATAAACCTTTTTAACCTCCCCTCTTGCGCCTTCCGATTTTTGTCAGAAGGAACCAGATCATTCCACGGATGCTGGAGAGGGTTTCCAAAAACGCTGTCCTTTTCACTACAACTTCTTTCTAAGGATTTTCACGCTACTTGATCCCTCCACCACCAAAATACAAGGTGCTGAAAACAAGGAGAATCTACTCTTTCAAATGGAGAGTCTGCTGGCTGTTAGAATGGATATTTTAATCTCAGGTTACTTACTGGGAAGAGGTGCAGTATTACAACCATCGTTCTCACAACATGCTATTCTCTTCTGTTGGTACTTTCCGGCTAGTGACGTGACGCTATGATAAGCATTAGAACATTGCTCGGCTTTTGCACATGACTTGGCAGTAAAGGAGAGTGGAGAAGGGGCTGCAAAAATTAATCAGAAAAAATCAAAACCCCATTGTGGCCAATAATGGAAAAATAAAAACATCAAGGTTTCCAATTTAAAGGTTTAAACTCAGATACATCTGAGGATCAATTCTAACCGGCTGAATAGATTTAAGTTGAAGATAGGAAGGCATAAATGTTGGGTTGCTCCCTCCAGGTATGCTTAAATGGAAATAATGGAGATATTAATAATGATTTGAGGGGAATGAGGTACAGTATACTAAAAATATCAGATATCGTTCTGTTCCTGGATTGGTGGCCACCAGACCTAGGAAACAGGCCAGGTATGATGAAAGATCAGTTATGATTTTCCCCAAGTCCTATAAGTTACTCCTTGATGCTCTGGAGACCAAAGGATGAAAATGGCAGCCATCATTAATACTGAAAGTGCATTTCACTCACTCATGGTGCTGCGAAAGGAATACGTAAGGCAATGTTTTTGTCCGCTCCACATTCCATCAACTGCATGTCCTCATTTCTGCATTCACCCCCGCAGGCAAAACAGGTCTGGCATTTCAAAGATGCCACTGCAGATAGAAAAAAAAGAAGGAAGGAAGGAAGGAAGGGAGGGAGGGAGGAAGGGAGGGAGGAAAGAAGGAAGAAAGGAAGAAAAAGAACGAAAGAAAGAAAGAAAGAAAGAAAGAAAGAAAGAAAGAAAAAGGGAGGGAGGAAGGAAGGCAATTTTTAATTAGTGATGCTGCACTTCTAGCAATGTTCGAGATGTGTAATGAGATAATTACAGGTAGTCCTCAACTTACAAGCATTCCTTTAGTGACAATTCAAAGTATAGAGATTGTTTGAAAGAACCCACAATTGAAATTCTTTTCCTGTTTTGGAGAAATCCTTAACTACAATTTAGTGAAAATTCTTCCAGACTTCTGTTCCCTCCCAAATTTATCCTTGTGTCACTTACCTGTTGAGATGAGTGAAGAGAGGAGGCACAGGACAAGGATTCTAGCAGACATCATGATGACAGTGTGAATCGACTGTGTCTAGCGAAGGCATTTATGTGAGGCATTTATAGTTCCAGAAGTATGCCTGCCTTGGAGGATGAGTTTGAAGAATTCTGGTGAGGAGGTGGAATGGGAGACAATCAAATCCCACACAGAGTAGAGCAACATCGACTTACACAAGAAGTTGGAGAAAGGGAAAATGTGCACACAATAAGATGAGTAAGGCAGTTTTGTCACATTGATGGTGAAGGAAAACTTGATTTGTGTCTTATGTGGGGCCCATGTTTAGCAGAATCTTTGCGTGTCAGTAATGCCCATCTATTAATGGGGTAACAACTGAGGTTCAAAATCACCATTGGGTTGAAATTATTGTGGTAACATTTCAGGAGGAATCCCACTTGTGATCAGGCAGAGTAGAGGCCCCTGGCTCAATAGTACTGACTGTGAGAGAGATTTTGGAGTGCTAGTGGACAGTCACTTAAATAGGAGCCAGCTGTGTGCTGCAGCTGCCAAAAATGCCAACACCGTTCTAGGCTGCATTAAAAGAGAGATAGAATCAAGATCACATGAAGTGTTAGTACTGCTTTGCAATGCCTTGGTAGGACCACACTTGGAATATTGAATTCAGTTTTGGCTATAACTGGTTTAAAGGGCCTTTTAATGAGGGGCCTATTTAATAATAATAATAATAATGATGATAAAGTTGGAAGGGATCTTGCAGGTCATCTAGTCCAACCCCCTGCTCAGGTAAGAAACCCTATACCATTTCGGACAAATGGCTGTCCAGTTTCTTCTTAAAAACTTCCAGTGTTGGAGCATTCATGCTTCTGGAGGAAAGTTGTTCCACTGGCTAATTGTTCTAACTGTCAGGAAGTTTCTCCTTAGTTCTAGGTTGCTTTTCTCTTTGGTTAGTTTCCATCCATTGCTTCTTGTCCTGCCTTCAGGTCCTTTGGAAAATAGCTTGACTCGCTCTTCTTTGGGGCAGCCCCTGAGATATCGGAACACTGCTATCATGTCCCCTCTCGTCTTTCTCTTCGTTAAACTAGACATATCCAATTCCAGCAACCGTTCCTTATATGTTTTAGCCTCCAGTCCCCTAATCATCTTTGTTCCTCTTCTCTGTACTCTTTCTAGAGTCTCAACATCTTTTTTACCTCGTGTTGACCAAAACTGGATTCAGTATTCCAAGTGTGGCCTTACCAAGGCCTTGTAAAGTGGTATTAACACTTCACGTGATCTTGATTCTATCCCTCTGTTAATGCAGCCTAGCACTGTGTTGGATTTTTTGGCAGCTGCAGCACACTGCTGGCTCATATTTAAATGATTGTCCGCTAGGTCTCCAAGATCCTTCTCATAGTTACTACTACTGAGCAGAGTATCCCCTATACTATACTTGTACATTTGGTTTTTCTTGCCTAAATGTAGAACCTTACTTTTTTCACCATTGAATTTCATTTTCTTAGATAGCGCCCAGTGTTCAAGTCTGTCCAGATCCTTCTGTATCCTAAGCCTGTCTTCTGGAGTGTTGGCTATTCCTGCCAGCTTGGTGTCGTCTGCAAATTTGATGAGTTCCCCATCTATCCCCTTGTCCAGATCCTTTATGAAGATGTGGAAGAGCACTGGGCCCAGAACAGAGCCTTGGGGCACCCCACTACAGACTTCCCTCCGTGTAGATGTAGTTCTATTGAGGACCACACGCTGAGTCCGGCCGGTCAACCAACTATGGATACATCTGTTGGTGATGCTTTCTAACCCACATTTTTCTATCTTATCAAGTAGTAGGTTGTGATCTACTTTGTCAAATGCCTTACTGAAGTCCAAGTAAATTATATCCACAGCATTGCTCTGGTCCACTATTTTTGTCATTTGGAACCCCTGGGACCATTCTAAGCTTATTTCCAATGACACCCCTCTTTCACTTGCTTTAACTTAATTGCTTTACTAGTTCTTGTATAACACAAATTACTACCTCCAACAAATTTTTAATTAATATTGGTAAAGCATCCAGAGACATTAAGAGAATGGAAGCTATATAAATTATCTCAATAAGCATACCAGATTATCCAGGGTAAAATATCTTTATCCCCCTCTTGGCTCCCAGGGGTGAACTATAGGAGGTCTTTCAAAGGAAAGTTCCTAGAGATTATTGATATGAATACCTAAGAATGGATGCTATGAGAGACAACTTCCACCCTAGAAACCAGGAGATTGTGAGTTCCAGTCCTGCCTTAAGCATGAAAGCCGACTGAGTGACTTTGGGCCAGGCCTTCTCTCTCAGCCCAACCCACCTCACATACGGTAGTGGTCATGAGGAAAACAGGAGGAGAAAGAAGTATTATATATGTATAAAAATAATAGAGATGAGATAAAAAGGTATTAAAATAAATATCTCCTGCCACTTGTTTAATCGCTTGAATGAACTACAGAAGACTCGATTATTTGCATTCTTAGTTTATTTTGATTACAGCTTCATGACAATTGAAAGTTAAGAAACAACCTCACAGTGAGCGAGAATATTGAAGTGTAGTAATTAAATCGCATCACCCATCACCAACTCAAACCTTATACTTTAATCTCAAACTGGAGTGTCTTTCATCTCAAAATCTCATTGCTGTTTGCATTAAGCCCTTAATTTCAACTCCGACCAAATATTTTTGAAAAGTCCCTTCAACCTTCCAGTCCCTCAGGATTCTGGCATTCTAGTGTTTCAATGTCACAAATGATTAATCCATTTGCTAATTCCATCTTTCTTCTTGGGTAGAAACATGAATTCTTGTTTGCACATCCCTGGGCACTGACTGTTGAAAAATATGCTGACCCTGGGAAGGGTGAGAATAAAGGATTTAAGAAACAATTCTTAGTTTTCTCTTCACTTTTAATGGTGTAGCATTGAGATAAATTAACAAAAATATGTACTATATCTGTTTGGGCGTCTAGAATGTTCCTCCACAAATTGAGAAAGAAAGCATTGCTCACCTGCACGTATACTGAATTTTGTATTGAAACATTGGTCCTCATCCCCGAGACAGAGAATGGATCCATTTATTTCAGAAACACCATTTTGTTTGAAAGAGCTTGGGCAGACAAGCCCATTGGGTTTAAGGATGTCACGCCCTGGAACTGCAGAAAGGAAGCTTCCGAATTAGCAAATAGTTTCACAGCCACAATCCTTTTTGAAATATTTATAGCCCAACTAAATGCCCTCTAAGCATTTTGACTATGGTTTTTATAATTCTCAGTCAGGAAAAGATTTGTTTTCTCCAAATAGCTAATCACCTTGTGTTCCTATTGGAGTAGAGTGTGAAATCTGGAATGCACCATTTCTTAATGAACTTCAAGCACATAGTGGAGTCTTTAGAAATAATGCAAAATAAAACTTTAACTTCCTCCCCTCTTGCACCTTCCGATTTGTGTCAGAAGGAACCAGATCATTCCACTGATGCTGGAGGGGGCCTCCAAAAATGTTGTCCTTCTTTTCGCTACAACGTCTTTCTAAGGACTTGATCCCTTCACCACCAAACATACAAAGTGTTGAAAGCAAGGAGAATCTACTCTTTCAAAGGAAGAGTCTGCTGGCTGTTAGAATGGACATTTTAATCTCAAGTTACTTACTGGGAAGAGGTTCAGTATTACAGCCATCGTTCTCACAACATGCTATTCTTGCCTGCAGGTATTTTCTAGCTACTGACGTGACGCCATAATAAGCATTAGAACATTGCTCAACTGTTGCACATGATTTGGCAGTAAAGGAGAGTGGAGAAGGGGCTGCAAAATTTAATCAGAAAAAAAGAAAACCCCATTATGGTGGATAACAGAGAAATAAAAACATCAAGGCTTCAAATTTAAAGGTTTAAACTCAGATGCATCTGAGGATCAATTCTAACTGGTCGAGAATATTTAAATTGAGGACAGGAAGTCATAAATGTTGGATTGTTCCCTCCAGGTATGCTGAGATGAAATGGAAATAATGGAGATATTAATAATGTTTTGAGGTAAATGAGGTGTAGTATGATAAAAATTTCACTCACTCATAGTGCTACGAAAGGAAAATGTAAGGCAATACTTTTCGTCCGTTCCACATTCCACCAACTGCATGTCCTCATTTCGGCATTTATCCCCGCTGGCAAAACAGGTCTGGCATTTCAAAGATGCCACTGCAGATAGAAGAAGAAAAAGAAGGAAGGAAGGAAGGAAGGAAGGAAGTTAGGAAGAAAAAGAAAGAAAGAAGAAAGAAAGATAAAGAAAGAAAGAAAGATGATAAGGACGAAAGGAAGGGAGGGAGAGTGGGAGAAAGGATGAAAAAGGAAGAAAAGGAAAGAAAGCAAAAAGAAAGAAAGAAAAAGAAAGAAAAAGGAATGAAGGGAGGGAGGGAAGGAGGAAGAAAGAAAGAATGAAGAATAAAAGAAAGAAAAAGAAAGAAAAAGGGAGGGTGGGAGGGAGGGAGGAAGGAAGGCAATTTTTAATTAGTGATGCTATACGTCTAGCAATGTTCTAGATGTGTAATAAGATACAGGTAGTCCTCAACTTACAACCATTCCTTTAGTGACAATTCAAAGTATAGAGATTGCTTGAAAAAACCCAAAATTGAAGTTCTTCCCCTATTTTGGAGAAATCCTTAACCACAATTTAGTCAAAATTCTTCCAGACTTCTCTTCCCTCCCAAATTTACCTTTGTGTGACTTACCTGTTGAGATGACTGAAGAGAGGAGGCACAGGACAAGGATTCTAGCAGACATCATGATGACAGTGTGAATCGACTGTGTCTAGCGAAGGCATTTATGTGAGGCATTTATAGTTCCTGGAGTATGCCTACCTCGGAGGATGAGTTTGAAGAATTCTGGTGAGGAGGTGGAAGGGGAGACAACCAAATCCCACACAGAGTAGAGCAACATCAACTTACACAAGAAGTTGGAGAAAGGGAAAATGTGCACACAATCCATCAAGATGAGTAGGCAGTTTTGTCATATTGATGGTGAAGGAAAACTTGATTTGTGCTCTTATGTGGGGCCCATGTTCAGCATAAGCTTTGTATGTCAATAATGCTCATCTATTATTGGGGAAGAAATGAGGTTCAAAGTCACCACTGGGTTGAAATTATTGTGGTAACATTTCAGGAGGAACCACACTTGAGATCAGGCAGAGTAGAGGCCCCTGGCTCAATAGTACTGACTGTGAGAGAGATTTTGGAGTGCTAGTGGACAGTCACTTAAATAGGAGCCAGCCGTGTGCTGCAGCTGCCAAAAAAGCCAACACCGTTCTAGGCTGCATTAACAGAGAGATAGAATCAAGATCACATGAAGTGTTAGTACCGCTTTATAATGCCTTGGTAGGACCACACTTGGAATATTGAATCCAGTTTTGGCTATAACTGGTTTAAAGGGCCTTTTAATGAGTGGCCTGATTGAAAGATTCTTTTTTGTTGTGAAGTATTAGAAAGAGACGTTGTGGGTTAGGCCAACCGGAATGTGAATTTGGGGTTGGGCAAAGGTGGAAGAGAATCCTTTCCTTGAGCAAAAGATTAGCCATTTGAAAAGAAACCCAAGGGCTTCTCTTAATCATTAATTTTTTAACAATAACAGGAACTACGTTGCGTACAGAAAGAAATGGTTCAACCTGTATCTTTCTTTATGAATCTGATCTTTTGAAATGATGGATAGTGCTTGGTTCCCTGTCATGATTTTTCAGCTTTAAAGTGCAAAGAATTTTGGTTGACGCATATTAAAATGAATGAAAATGATTAAGATTGTTTTAGGATTTGAGCTTTGGTTCTGCACAGGAGATAAAATCAGTTAGATTGTAGATGTAGATCTTGATTCAAATACTAAATTAGGCCTGTTACATTTCTCCATGAGTGTGAACATCATATTCAACCAGCTAAAAATCGAGGGAGGCAAAAAAGCTCAAAGGACAGGACAGTAATGATTCAAACCATTGAATAAATTTTGCCCCACGGTTAAGGCACACCATTTGGAATATTAAGATGAATAGTTTCATGGTAATTCCACAACATCGGTCCACAATCACCGATGGAGCCAGGACTGGAATGCCCGTGTGGAAGGTCAAAAGTCTTCATCAGGGTTCGGTCCAAGCTGGGAATAAACAATATGGCGACTGCTTTAGAAAGAAGGTTGTAGTTTATTAAGGAGGGTTGCCAGACAGAAAGATCGCTCTGGAAAGAAGAAAAGTGAGCACATGTAGTAGGGAATGGATTTTTATACCCTCTTGGGCTTTTGTTTGGAGTTGTTTCCTGTTCCTGTTTGAGGCTTTGTTTTTCCTGTGTCATGTATTTGACCTGAGTCTGACTGTGCCCATTTGGCATTTGTGGGTTAATCCTATTATGTCCTTTCTTATAGTTTGGGTGGGGTATGTAGATTTTAGGTATCTTTGTCTTCCTAAGCTTCTAACTGGAGGGCTGTAACCTTCCTGAATGGATTATTACATTTGCATTTCCACAGAGCTGGTTTCTGTTTGGGGGAGGGAGACTTGGGGCTATTAAGAAAAAGTGGGCATGCTTTTCTGCCTCTTTAAGATCATTTGAGGAAATATAATATTCTACCCTTTTAATATTTCCTTCTCTGAGGGGGCTGACTTCCCACAACCAAGGGTCAAATCATAGAGCAGTGATGGTGAACCTTGTGTCAAAAATGTGTCAAAAAATTTGGAAATGTATCCAGAATTTGGAAACATTTATTCTGCTGGCATATCACATATATAAAGGGAGTCCTCGGCTTACAACAGTTTGTTTAGTGACCGTTAAAGTTTACATCGGCACTGAAAAAAGTGATTTATGACTATTTTTCACATGACCGTGGCAGCATCCCCAGGGTCACGTGATCAAAATTTAGAGGCTTGGCAACTGACTCAGATTGATGACGGCTGCAGTGTCCCTGGGGGTCACGTGATCCCCTTTTGTGACCATCTGATAAGCCAGATTGCCTTAACAACCAAGTTACTAACTTGGTTGTTAAGTGATTTACTTAACAACTGTGTCAAGAAAGGACGTAAAATGGGACAGAGAAGGCCGTGATCTTTCATTTAACAATTGTCTCGCTTAACAATAGAAATTTAGGGCTCCATTGTGTTCGTAAGGCAAGGACCATCTGTACACACACACACACACACACACACACACACACACACAAACAGACAGACACGAAACAATTCTCTATCTCTCCTACATCTAGGTCAGGGGTGGAGAACCTTGCCTCTTTTATGACTTGTGGACTTCAACTCCTAGAATTGGCTACCTTCCTCTTTAGTGGATAAAGAATTGGAATGAGGTTCAGCTTTTTTTACTTAACTGTGAAAAACAGAAGCTGTATTTACTCACAATTCCACTTTATTTGCACAACTGCAATATTGGCTAACTGAATGGAATCATGCAATATGGTAGGCCACTAAATCACAATTATCCAATGTTGAAACTATTCAAACCTAGTTGTTACTGCAGGTGACATGGTTAAATCTACATGAAGATCCAGTGGATCTCCTCCTCCTCCTCCTCCTCTTCCTCTTTTCTTTTTCCATTTTCCTGCCCTGTGATTCATCATATTTTGCTTAAAGTCCAGATTCTCTTAATACAATTTTCAGTAGTTATATAAATTATCTCAATAAGCATACCAGATTATCCAGGGTAAAATATCCTTATCCCCCTTTTGACTCCCAAGGGTGAACTACAGGAGGTCTTTGAAAGGAAAATTCCTTGAGATTATTGATATGAATACTTAAGAATGGATGCTATGAGGGACAACTTTCACCCTAGAAACCAGGAGATTGTGAGTTCTAGTCCTGCCTTAAGGATGAAAGCTGACGGGGTGACTTTGGGCCAGGCCTTCTCTCTCAGCCCAACTGACCTCACATACGGTAGTGGTCATGAGGAAAACAGGAGGAGAAAGAAGTATTATGTATTTATAAAAATAATAGAGATGAGATAAAAAGCTATTAAAATGAACTTGAATGAACTACATAAGACTCGATTATTTGCATTCTAGTTTATTTTGGTTACAGCTTCATGACAGTTGAAAGTTAAGAAAGAACCTCACAGTGGGCTAGAATATCACAGTGTAGTAATAAAATCCCATCACCCATCACCAACTCAAATCTTAAACTTTAATCTTAAACTTCAGTGTCTTTCATCTAAAATTCTTATTGCTCTTTGGATTAAGTCCTTAATTCCAACTCCGACCAAATGTTTTTGAAAGGTCCCTCCATCCTTCTAGTGCCTGAGGATTCTGGCATTTTATTGTTCCAATGTCGAAAATTACTAGTCCATTTCCTTCTTCTGTCCTTCCTCTTGGGTAGGAACAGAAATTCCTGGTTGTACATCCCTGGCCATTGATTATTGACAAGTATGCTGACACTGGGAAGGGCAAGAATAAAGGATTTAGGACACATTTCTTAGTTTTCTATTCACTTGTAATGGCGTAGCATTGAGATAAATTAACAAAAGTATATACTGTATCTGTTTGGTCATCTAGACAAGGCCTGTTGAGCATTCCCCTTACTTGCAAGGTAAATAAATAGTAGATGAGGTAACAGGTCTTTGTTTGGTAGGGCACTCTCTCCCCTGATGCATGTCCTACTCCCATTCTGTCAACTGAGAACTGGACAGCCATTTGTCTGAAATGGTATAGGGTTTCCTGCCTGAGCAGGGGGTTGAACTAGATAACCTCCAAGGTCCCTTCCAACTTTATTATTATTATTAATATTATTACCCCCAAATTAGTAAAATCAGTTTTAATCCAAATTAAATCTATTTTGTTCTCTTATGCACTTAAAAAAAAAAGAACTGAACATTGCCAATGAATGAAATATTCTCCCAAGGAATGACTTCCTATTAGTTTTACTTTGTTTATGTTTTTCTTCCATTTCCCGTATGCTTAATTTTACTTTTTTCTAGAATGTTCCTCCCCAAATTGAGAAAGAAAGAGTTGCTCACAAACACGCATACTGCACTTCGAACTGAAACATTGATCCTCATCTCCGAGACAGAGAACGGGTCCACTTTCTTCAGAAACACCATTTTGTTTCAAAGAGCCTGGGCAGACAAGCCCGTTGGGTTTAAGGATGTCACGCCCTGGAACTGCAGAAAGGAAGCTTCCGAATTAGCAAATAGTTTCACAGCCACAATCCTTTCTGAAGTATTTATAGCCCAACTAAGTGCCCTCTAAGCATTTTGACTATGGTTCTTATAATTCTCAGACAGGAAAAGATTTGTTTTCCCCAAATAGCTAATCACCTTGTGTTCCTTCTGGAGTAGAGTGTGAAATCTGGAATGCACAATTTCTCAATGAACTTCAAGGATATAATGGAGTCTTTAGAAATAATGCAAAAAAATCTTTAATCTCCTCCCCTCTTGCACCTTCCAATTTCTATCAGAAGGAACCAGATCATTCCACGGATGCTGGAGAGGGTTTCCAAAAACGTTGTCTTCCTTTTCTCTACAACGTCTTCCTAAGGATTTTCATGCTACTTGATCCCTCCACCACCAAACATACAAGGTGCTGAAAGCAAGGAGAATCTACTCTTTCAAACGGAGAATCTGCTGGCTGTTAGAATGGACATTTTAATCTCAGCTTACTTACGGGGAAGAGGTGCAGCATTACAGCCATCGTTCTCACAACATGCTACTCTTGCCTGCAGGTATTTTCCAGCTACTGACGTGACGCCATAATAATAAGCATTATAACATTGCTCAACTTTTGCACATGACTTGGCAGTAAAGGAGAGTGGAGGAGAGACTGCAAAATTTAATAAAAAAGAAAAAAGAAAACTCCATTATGGCAGATAACAGAGAAATAAAAACATCAAGGCTTCCAATTTAAAGGTTTAAACTCAGATGCATCTAGTGATCAATTCTTAGTGGCTGAGAAGATTTAAGTTGAGGATAGGAAGGCATAAATGTTGGGTTGCTCCCTCCAGGTACGCTGAGATGAAATGGAAATAATGGAGATATTAATAATGTTTTGAGGGGAATGAGGTACAGTATGATAAAAATAACAGATATCATTCTGTTCCTGGATTGGTGGCCACCAGACCTAGAAACAGCCCAGGTATGATGAAAGATCTGTTGTGATTCCTACCAAGGCCTATAAGTTACTCCTTGATGCTCTGGGGACCAAAGGATGAAAATGGCAGCCATCATTAATACTGAAAGTGCATTTCACTCACTCATAGTGCTGCGAAAGGAATATGTAAGGCAATATTTTTCGTCCACTCCACATTCCGCCAACTTCATGTCCTCATTTCTGCATTCATCCCCACAGGCAAAACAGGTCTGGCATTTCAATGATGCCACTGCAAATAGAAGAAGAAAAAGAAGGAAGGAAGGAAGGAAGGAAGGAAGGAAGGAAGGAAGGAAGGAAGGAAGTAAGTAAGTTAGAACAAGAAAGAAAGAAGAAAAAAAGATAAAGAAAGAAAGAAAAAAGAAAAAGGGAGAAAGGATGGAAGCGAGGGAGGAAGGAAGGAAGAAAGAAAAAAAAGAAAGAAAGAAAGAGAAAA